TTTCTTGCTAGAAGTATGTCTGTATTTCAAAAATGGGTTGAATCGGTTATGATGATTTTCGAAACTCCCGTTGACTTTATAATACATATAACTACCAATATTTGAATTATTTGAATAAAAATTAGTGGGTATATTTTACTCATAATAATATACCTTCGTGTTTATAATGAAAATTCAGCGAAAACTTGACGTAGCCCTCATATAACAAACACAGTATAATATACAGCTGACATTACTCCATGTAATATTTTCGAACTTTCGTAAAAAATTATCTGAACGAATAATATTGGAATACGATGTAATACCTCCTCTAGCTTTTGTGACGGCCATTACTCTTGACAGCATGGAGTCGAAAAGGTTCTTAAGAGTCTCTTCGGTTATATTGTTGTGCCATACATTTTCCTATTCCTCCTTTTTATTGGTAAGTTTCTGTTCACATACATTTTGCTTAACTTTTTTGCCCATTCTAAATGCGATTTTTAAATTTTTTGGGCCAGCATGGCTTTTTTGCAGGACACTTTTAGAACAAACCGGCTTCTTGCACCCTTCCTCGTATTATTTCCACACTTATTTTCACTCCATTATTTGTTTACCGCTCTGCCTGCATAGAAATAGCACTTTTGAATCGACTATAACACTTATCATTTATATTATGCCACCAATCATTTTGTTAGTTGCACGTTTGGGACCAGATACTTTTTCCGTCCAGGTTCTTTAAAGTATCCTTTTTTTTTTGGAACAAACTTACCACAGTTGAATGTGAACTGCCCACACTTTTAGCAGTGACCCTATAAGAAAGACCTTCCTTCACCAAAGCATCAATAGAAACTGTTTTATCACATCTCAACAGTTTTTTAGGACAATTTTTGTCTTGACTTACATTTGCTGTCAACACATCAACAATACTTCAAGAAAAACATGGAAATCTTTAAAATGTGTTTATTTCAATAACACAAAAATTAATTACAATTCCATAAGTTCTGATCTTCATGAAACTGTATAAGCACTAATTCGTAGGTGACAATAGTGCCGGCAACCTAAAAGCATAATTTACAAAATTGAATCAAGAAATTTCGTAACCAACGTACTAATCTCTCACCGTCAACACCAAGCCACGCGTAATGTTAAAAAATTGCAACCCGGTCAAGGCTACCGTATCCATGCCAATCTCATAAGCCATGCGGTCGACTTCAGGATGAAAGCCCTCCTTTGGCACCTTTTTGATTATTTTCAAAGGTTCACGGGAGCGATCGTTGACCTCGGACAAATACAAAGAAACCGCCAAAGTGCGGGCCATGAGAAAACATAGTGACGCATAGAAATAGACGAAATGTGCTACAGATGGCATTGTGCTAAAGAAAAGTCAAAAAATAAATAAGAATTGATACTCTTTTTTTTATCTAAATGAGACACAARCGCAGATCTTATTTATGCTTTGAGTGAACTTACTTCATGCTCTTGAGCAACTGAATGCAAACAAAGTAAAGATTATTAGCGAAAGAGAGCATAGTTATGGCAGATATAGCGGAATCTACTTTTTCTATGAGGTCACAAATAAGCCGRTATTGCAAGCGGGTACGCGTCCAATAGGATTCCGGCATGACCTGAAATCGAAGCGAAGTTAGTGGGAACTAAAAGTTATTRCAAATTACTACAAATATCTTACCTGTCCCTTGACACGCTCCAAACTGYGCTGCACTTGTTCGAACAAAGATGAGAGTCCTATGCCGATTATCATTAGAAACACATCCATATAACTCCAACCGAAAGTCATGAGCACATTCAATATCTTTCCGAACCAAGCCAGCCAAGTAGAGTAATCGAAAATGAAAAAAATTTGCGAAACAACKGTCATGAAATACGACTCGATCGGATCCACGCGTGAAGGACAATAGTTGGCGAAGTGAATGGCCGAAATGGTGCTCAATAGATGCTCAGCTGAGTTAAGAATTAATTTTAAATTAACGGCTTACTAACTAAATATTATAAGTGATATGGATTCTGTGGACCACTTACTCAGCGACAATGTGATCAGCACAAAGGTCACCTTATGCACCCGCACCGCCAGCGCCTCGCGTTCACGCCACGACTGAAAAGGCGGCATATGCCGCTCCACTCGCTGCCATTTACGCATCAGCTGCGGCCATTTTGCGGCCAGTCGCAGGAAACCAATTGAAGCCAGCAGTATATTGGCATGAAATATTAATGGTTCTAAACACGTTTTATGTGTGAAATGAGAGATTAAATTTAAAGTAGTAAATTAGCAAGACTCGYAAGGCACTTGTTAAAAGCCAAATGCCAAAAACAACCACCAACCAATGTTTCGCACATCCAGCACACCTTTGACGACCATGTTTACTGTGAGGCCCGTATCAGCAATGGTCACCAGCGTGTATAATATGCAGTACCAGGTGCGAAAACTCTTCCAGCGAAAGGACAACCCTTTTGGACTGGCGGCGAGTATGCCACGCACCGGCATCAGACAGAAACACTGAGCAATCACGAGCACTGAAATCAAAGACGACCCAGGCACTTTGTTTTTATCGACATTTTTTATTATTTTTATATGTAATACATGTACATGAGGGTGTGCGTTCTTTTCTAAACTGTGTTTTTTTTTATGTTTTTTTTTTCCTGGATGTACATATATTTGAGGAAAATCGCAATGAAATTGTGGTTAGGGATGATTATAAAGCACATACATAAATGAACATAAAAATAAAAAATTATTGGAATAGTTAAAGTTTACAGCTGAGGTCTTAGGGAAAAGTAGATTAGACGATTTGAAGACGAAAAGARGCAATGTGTTGGAAACGTTTTTCAAGCCAGAGCAAAAGTCGACTGTGATTATCTTCCATATTAACACTTTACTTATTTTTATACCCTGAACAGGGTATATCAAGTTTGTTACGAAGTTAGTAACACCCAAGGAAGTGTCGAAGACCCTATAAAGTATATATTTAAATGATCAGTATGTTGAGCTGAGTCGATTTAGCAATGTCCGTCTGTCTATCTGTCCGTCTGTTTATAAACGAACTAATCCCACAGTTTTTAAGATATCGTTTTGAAATTTTCTAAGCGTCATTTTCTCTTCAAGAAGCTGCTCATTTATCGGAACTGCGATATCGGACCATTATAATATATAGCTGCTATACAAACTGAACGTTCGCAATGAAGTTCTTCTATGGAAAACTTTCACATTTGACAATGTATCTTTACAAAAGTTGGCACAGCTTATTTTCTAAGATAATAATATAATCTCCGCAGAAATTTTTCACATCGAATTACTATAAGCTTCCATAAAAACTGAACGATAATGATATATATTCTGCAAATTTTCCCCTGTGAAGGGTATATTAGCTTCGGTGCAGTCGAAGTTAACGTTTTTTTTTTTCCAAAAATTACAAAAACAACTTGAATACGCAACTGATTTGTATTTTCAGCTGAAGTGCTACTCGAAATGATTTCCACAAACTGTTAATTTATMGATTGTTATTGCAAATAAGAGTTAAACAGAAAATTCTTAGTTTTGAAGCTATTGGTAAATTCATTTGCAGCAGAATTCATGGAAGCTCGTCTAAATTCAATTTCTCGCTAAAGTGTTGGATATTTTTGTATCCAAGTAGAAAGTTGGAGCTGTTCTAAAATTACATGTAATTATTTAAYGCATTTGAAAACTCGGAGAACAACCTTATTTTACTAAAAAGAATTCATGCATTGAATTATGGTCAATATCATTAGTTAGATAGTTTCGTGGCACCAATGAGCTCGTTCTATCTGAGTTAAACTGTCAATAGACATCAGTATTGTGCTATGTACGTATCACCCTGCAAACCAATTTTTTGCATCGCAGTGTCGCGATATTTTGAAACACATATAACATTATATTTGGCAATTTCTTTCGTAAAATATGGGCCGACATATCTAATATGAACGAAATGTTCTTGTTACTGAGTTGCAGGAAATGCAAGGTCCGTACCAAAGTCAGCAAGAACGGTATAACAGAACAAATGGTTTTTTCGGCAAAATCAATTTATTTTATCCAAACTAGTCTCCTTCTGCTTCAATACAGCTTCTGGCACGGTCCAAGAGCATGTCGAACGRGTGTTTTAGCTCGTTGGTCGGTATGGTCGCYAGTATGCCGTTGCAAGCCTTTTGAATGACCTCTACGTCTKCATAACGCTTTCCTTTCATGGGTAATGYATATTTCCAAAAAGGAAGTAGTCGCACGGKGCCATATCAGGTGAATACGAGRAGTGATTAATGGTTAAAATGTGATTTTTAGTCAAATAAATCTCTTTAATGATTTCATTCGAGTGTTGGATTCTGTGCAATTTTTGGTCGTCAGTCAATTTGTGCGCAATAAACCGTGCACACACATTTCGTAAGCCCAAATGTGCGGTCAAAATGCGATAAATCGAAGTTTTAGAGATGTTCAATTCCATTTTCATGAGCTTCAATGATTTCGACTGATTTTTGATGAATTCACGCAGAGTTTCGATGGAATTTCCGGTGATCATGGATTTTGATTGGCCGACAAGTTGATCGTCATTTATGTCCTCACTATCACTCGTGCCGCGTTTTAACGATTACGATTTAATGGCCTGCACCTGGAATGTTCGGTCTCTTACTTGGAAAGGTGCCAAGTGCCCAGTTTAATAATGTCGTCGTAAGTGTAGAAGCTAACACCAACGCCGTCCAAGAAGTGCGATGGATGTGATAAGGACTGAGACAAGTCATTTACTACAAAGGTCATATAAAGGAGCGCAAATACGATGTGGGATTCGTATTCCTGAATATATTGTCTGTGCTCCTTGCATATAAAAAAATTACTAACTGATGTGGTTCGCATGGTGTTTTTTGTTCAAACTTATTTAAAACTACTGTTGAAACTTCAACGGCTTGGGTATTTTGGTTCCCCACACCAATATCAATTTGGAGTATGCCTTCAYCGGAAAGAAAACACCACTAAAAGTGCGCGTTCATCAYCCRTAGTTGATTGAAKTGAACTTAAARGCAACTATAACTGCYCCTTACAATTAATATGGGTCCATTRGTTAATTCTCTATGGRAATACGTAAATTACAACTTTATTTTGATAAACGAACTGGTAGGAAATCAAACTAACTTTCTACAATTGATACGAATCCAGGAAAAAGAGTTTAAACTTGTTTCCTTAATGACATATGTATGTTGAAAAGTAAACCTCCTACAAATTTCTGGTGTTTTTGTGATTGGAKTACAGAAGAATGCAAATGGACTAGCAATACTTTAACCAAATATTAAATATTTTTCAATACATATATATTTAGTTACTTACAAGGGCCGACGGCTTCATGAAAGCTGCCATTGTGTATGAAATCCGCGCGTGTACCTCGCCTGATGCCGCCTTTTGGATAGTTGTCATGGCATGCAATGAAATAGATTAAAATATAAAAACTTCAAGAGAACTTAAACAAAGCAGGGTTCCTTAGAAAAACAACACGTTTTACAATTTTTTTTTTTTTTTTCGCAGCCACTAACTTTCCGAAATTCAGGGAACATCATGGTTATTGCTTTGTTTAAAATACTTAAAGTGGATAATTTTTACTCACGGACTTTCGGATGTTTACTTTGTTCGTACAACTCTTTGGTTARCTCCTGCTTCTCATCGACAGCAATTGTGGTTTGCCTTTTTGACAGGTAACGGGGGCCAGRTAAGATTCCGTTAATTATTTGAAGTCGCTTTCGGCGCTGCTGCGGTTGCCTTTTCATATAAAGCAAGTTCGTAAACAATTTTTCCCAGGGGCGTCAACGCATAAAGAAGTTGAGACAAAATAGATGAGAAAACAAACACTTTATTATATAAATGTACACAGCTGCTCAAAAAAATAGTTACATTCTACAGAAGGCTGAAAATATGTGAAAGCTAAAACTAACTTGTTTTATATAAGCGGTTTTCTATTCGCCATATCTCTGCTTGTTAGGCTTGACATAAACAACAACAAAATTAGCGGAAAGAATCATTTATCTACCAATATGTTAGYAGTTAGGGCAATCCCCTTACGTTASGTTAGTTTATACCGGCTGACCGTCACTAAATCTATATTTGGAACGTTTGCATAGCTAGAGTATGTTCACTTTAAGCTACCATCAAAATACAATGAGTTTCTCCTGGGGTTTTCTTCATAGTAAAACAAAAACGAAGAATGCCTTTGTTCAGGGTAAGAGAGCTGTACTACTATGACGCTTATACCCTTTCTAGTTACTAGTCAAATAAGTTTGCTTGACGAAGAGCTATTATGTTTGGTGTTTGCGAAATTGGCATCGAACAACATTTCTGGGTAGAGTTAAGGCTCAACGTGTAAAAAACAACGTTTTTGCAATGAAATTTAACCAAAATCTAGCTAAAACAGGCGCATTAAACGAAGAGACCGATGCAGAAACTTTGGTTGGTTGGTTGAAAGTGGAGACGTGAAGCACCAAATCACCGGCGGCCACTCCCAAGTGGTAAACAAATTAAGTCATAATTGGGAACTCATTGGATTTGGTAAAATTCATAATTTTTTCTACCCCAACTGCCCAATACCCCTTTGCCGGACCCAAAGTACGGCAGAGGTTTTAGATGGGCCTCGTACCCGACCAAGGTGGCTAAGGGTGGACGTTTAACACACACCCTGGGGTGGACATTACAACACACACCCTAACCAATTGGAACCTGAATATGAGTGTATGTGGCGGCACTCATGCTTTGGTTCTCCAGAGTATGAGTGTAGGTGCATGCACTTGTGCTTTGGGGCGCTGATCAACGCATTGTTTTGATCTATGTGGTTCTAGCAATAGAAAGCACCGTGGGGTTAGGCCTTCGCAGGCAGGAACTCACGTAAAACCACAACGGACTCTGCCCAATACCCCTTCCCCCTTCGGGTAGTGGGGACCCCTCCGGATTCGGAATACCGAATATACCCGTGGTAAGGCATGCCTGTCGTAAGAGGCGACTAAAATTCCGCATGCACTGTGTCTGTAATTCTGGGCTTGCCTTGAATTTCAGCATAGTCCATGTCAGATATAGTGCTATAGTATTCATCGTAAAAACATGGTTACTGTACACTGTATTTTTTATTCCTGGTATTCGAMYGTGTTTTCGTTTACGATTTMGTTTACGAATGGATTTACGAGACACATGTCATTATACAGTTGAGTTCTTARGGGTTCTTAGGAATTCTTGGGGGCTCAACTGGCAGTAGCGCAAGCTACAAGTCATACCAAAGACTAAAACATGGTACCACGGGGAGCAGTCAGCCCTTGGAGGAAACTCCAATCTGCTCTTTGGGTTTTTGGCCCTTTGTGGAGATTCGTGGTGGCTGTGGTTTAAACCAAAATGCAGGAAGGGCATTAGTCCGGTGTGGAGTCACACTGCGGCCGGGTGCCGGACCCAGAGAACGGCAGAGGTTTTAGATGGGCCTCGTACCCGACCAAGGTGCTTGTCCACCCAAACCAATTGGAACCAAAGTATAAGTGTATGTGGCGGCACTCACGCTTTGATTCTCCAGAGTATGGTGCAGGTGCATGCACTCGTGCTTTAGGGCGCTGATCTACGCATTGTTTTGATCTATGTGCTTCTAGCAATAGAAAGCACCGTGGGGTTAGGCCTTCGCAGGCAGGAACTCACGTTAAACCACAACGGACTYTGCCCAATACCCCTAAGCAACTTTGGGAACAGTGAAATATACTCCACCTCATCCTGCTGAAGGTGGATATGGGTGGTTGAAACAAAATCAATTGTTTTAAAATTGTAAGGATCGAAACTTAAACAAAAACATTATCTACTACAAGCTAAGCTCGAAGAATAATTAAAACTGACCTCGAGGGTGCTTTTGATTATGCGTCCTACGCACTGGAGAGAAGGAATGTAGCGACTCCGAAACATTGTACAAAGCGAAGACTTAATAGCAGGGAGTTGGCGGTGTCTGAAGAGGTCAAATTCTTAGGCCGCACATTAGACTCAACCTTAAGGTGAAATAGGCATGTGGAATTAACATTGTCCAGAGGCACTCTTGATATGAAGACGTCTAGTTGGTTGATACGAAACTGTAAGCCAAGTATCATCAGGTGGGTATATACTCGTACCATAGCTTGCGTCTACACTTCAGAGGCAACGCGTACTTGCCCAATCGCAGCAATTGAATTCATGTTGGTGCTCACATTGCTGCGTATAGTGGTCGAAAAAGCAGCGAAGCATACCATGCTCGTCTCAACAAATGAAGTCTTTAGGGGATGACACACCACTGGCCCTTCTTGCAAGAGACGGCTTTACAAAGAGACTAAACTTCACAAAGAATTTTAGTATTACTCTCGTCAGAGATCGAGTTGAGTAATTCCACACTAGACCTACTACTAAGTCGCAGCAATAACCAGAAGAAGGAGCATTTTGCCAGCAGAAGTCTAAGTCAGTTTGCAAAAACATCAATCTCCATCGCAAATATCGCAACCAACATATCGCTATACACAGCAATGGTCAAGCGGCACTAAAAACGATCTCAGTTTATGAAGTAAAGTAAAGGATAAAAGCGCGGAGGTTACAACAAAGTTTTAATATATATATAATCAAAATAAATTTCGTCTCCTTGCCGCGCTCTATATAGGGCACTGCAGGCTCAACAAATACTTGTTCAACATGTGCATAGTCTCTTACCCAATCTGATTTTCTGACATGGAACATGAAACTCAGGAACACCTAATTCTAAATTCTTCAGCAATTGTAGAAGCAGAGGTCAAGGTCGTAGAATAAATCTACGTGAACAGGGATGAAATCACCACAATCAGACCCAGCAATCTCGTACAATTATTCAGAGTTCTGGACCGTTGTGACCATATGTGATATATGTAGAACATAGGTCGCGTAACAAAACTTAATTTATATTCTATCTATCTAAGCACTCAAGCAAATTTGGAAAAAGTAGTTTTGAAAAAAAAAACGTATTTAAAGATAAACTGACGTGATAAAACTGAGCGGCTACACTTAAATATGAAGTGTGTAAGACAAAGTGACTATTTGAGATACCAACTTAAAATTAAAATAACAATTTTTTGGAAAAATATTGTGTTTTTTTAATTTCACATTAGCTGTGCCACTTAAGTAGAATGGAATTCATGGCAAAAAACAGAACTAATAAAAAGCTTTACTCACCCAGTTAAAAAACGCTTAACACTGTACTTTCTACCATCATCCTTTTCTAACTCCGTAATTTCTTTCGCTTTTAGGTAACGCACAATTTGCTTTAGAAATGTATAATTTAAGTATGATTTATGCATGTTCGGCAGTTTGTTGCACCGGATTTAGCACTGTTGGTCCGCCGACCGCCACGCCTATACGAGTATTGCAAATAAATTTGGCGTTTCGATGCTTGTAAGCAAAATATTGTGCTCCTGTCACGGGATGGCCTAAAAATACATTTATATTCAGCGCAGAAGGTATAAATAAGCAGTGAATTAGTTGAGGAAACGGAAGTGTCAACACGGTAATCAAACTGTTTTAGCGAAGTTCGCGACTTGAATTTGGCGAAGTGACTTCATCAAGTTGCCTAAAAAATGRTAAACCTTGATAATTGTTGTAGCTTTCAGCTTTTATACACACTTATACAGGTACATAGAAGCATTTCAACAAYATATGCCTCGAAATGTCTGCACATTAAGTGCCAAAGGTACGTAGGAACCCGGCGGGCATTTATCACAATCATTTGTCGCTTAATTGTCTTTTTTACTTCGCTGCTCAACTTGATTTCCCTCCATTTAGTGAGCAAATAGKTTTTTAATGCGAATTTGCATTTATCTCTCTACCAACAATTAATCTACAGCAGTGACAATATTTCGAATGGAGACTTTATGCATTTTTAAGAATCCAATATTTCCAACTCTTGATAATACCAATGCAAACTTAGCACCAATATCGTCACCAACAGCTCATTTAGAAATGGTCAAAATCGGGCCTTACAGTTCGCCGTAATATTAGGTTGTCAAAAAAGTCTTGCGGTATTTTCGCTAGTTGGCGCTGAGAGCTGAAGCTCATTTCACGCTCTAACACGTGTTTGATTGATTGTCGTTTCTTTTAAGTCGTTCGTGAGTTATAGTGTCGCCAACATGGAGCAAAGTAAAGAGAAAATACGGCATATTTTACAGTACTACTACGATAAAGGCAAAAATGCATCTCAAGCCGCCAATAAAATTTGTGCACTTTATCGACCCGATACAGTTTCCATTTCCACCGCACAACGATGGTTTCAACGTTTTCGTTCTGGTGTAGAGGTGGTCGAAGATGCGCCACGCTCCGGAAGGCCTGTCGTCGAAAATTGCGATAAAATCGCTGAATTGGTCGAAAGAGACCGGCATAGTAGCAGCCGTAGCATYGGTCAAGAGCTGGGCATGAGTCATTAAACCGTTATAAAATTAAAAAAATATAAATAAAAAATACCGCAAGACTTTTTTGACAACCTATTATATGTAATAATATCCATTTATTTGAAGCTTGTTAGGTTAGGATCGATGGYTGGTTCAAGGATCGCACTTGAACTACTATATATAAAAGATAATTAATTCCACTTACTCGGTAGAATATCTGAAAGAGTGAGCTGCCACGAAACAASAAAGAATGAAGTAYTGAGATGTTTMWATCTCATYTTCCATACAGTTTCTGCAGCTGACAACCCGTAGAACAATAGTCTGTTAGAAACGCCTAAATAAGGAGAGGCTAGAATTATTATAGCGCAAGAGCTCACTCAAAATAACTTGCGACAGCGCATAAGACGATAGTACACCGGCGCTGGCCTAGCTTCCCCGAAATCCATTTGTCCAGTAGTTGAAAGCACGAAGAAAGTTGACCACCGATCCGTTAACGGGGCTTRGGTGAGTTTTCTTGCCAGCTCGTCAGCTTTACAGATGCCTGCGATCCAGCCTTACCAGCGTTTAACGCGTGGTCAGTGAGCCCGAAGCTATTATCGTCGACATACTTTCAGAGTRGGAAGTCACTTTTTTTGTAGGAGGCTGCACTCCGGAGCAGTAAATCTACCGCTATCTTAATGGCAGTATCTGAAGCTTGAAAAATACTACAGTAGTCAAGAAGTCTGAAGTAGAAGATAATGGGGGAGTTCCTGATGATATAACCCTCCTCCAAACTTCGCCACAATTTTTGATMTATTCGTGAAGAAGCTCATTGCCTMTCTCCCCCAASTGCTTCTACCCATCCACAACTGCCTGGCTGGTATGTGAGCAGAGGAAAAGCTCCCAAAGTTTAGTTTGGCGACTCCATTATCTAAAAAATATGGTATGGCCAAGGTATACGAACATTTTCGAATGATCAAGCACATTTTCATGGCCATACACTTTCCATTAATATCTGTGGACACTCTAAGCAGATGAACATTAAGTGCCATGGTGGATGTGGACCTCGGTGCCCCACACATGCTGATGGGAGCCGCCCGTTTAACGCTCTCCAGCTTTTCTGTAAATGTAGTAGTATTTGAAAGAACAAAAGTCAAATTGTTAATTGTGAAAACTTCTATATCTGATGGTAATCTATATCAGATTGCTAAAATTAGTGTGAACGGGAATGTCTCTGTGGGTTCCACCTTTYCTGTGGTCACTTTAGCAAATGAGTTTCTGGTAAACGATGACATATTTGTCCAAACTAGTGAGCAAGTACCTAGAGTGCTAAATAGCACTACAAAAGTCGTACACCAATGGGCAAGATTGGCAGCTCCTAGTGCTGAATACTGGTAAGTCGAATATTTACAATGAAGTACAAGACCCTGTCAAGAAAACCACCGAGGCTCAATGGGGTCGAGTTATTTACTAAGGATCATGCCAAGTTTCTGGGAATRATTTTGGGCAGAAAACTAACGTTATCTGATTTCAAGTCACACTAAAAGAGGGGCCACGAAACCCACCAGCAAAACTTTCAACATCTCACATCGCATTGCATCGGAGCATTGGAGAGGCAGTAGATGTAGTGCCTACATGTATAGTGGATTCAAGGCATTACAAGCCTGCCGGGAAACGAAATAGTTGATGAGATTRCAAAAGTGATATCCGCTTAGCTACGGAACTAGTTCAGAAAATATGGAAAAATTATATATCAAGAAATTTCTAAAAGTGCATACAGACTCATAAAGACGATCGAGAAAAGACTACATAACGGTTGTTGGAATAAATATTTATTCTAAATGCTACCAATAACTTAAAAAAACAACTCAACTACATTTCCATAATTTATCTTCTTTTTGAAATTGTATCAACACMAGTTCGTAAGTGACAATGGTACCGGCAACCTGAAAATGTAAAATTAATTTCCAAATTAAAGATAAAAGTTTTTACTTACGGTCAATATCAGTCCACGGGTTACATTGAAATATTGCAGTCCGGTAAGCGCAACATTATCAACCGCTATCTCATGTCCAAACCGRTCTACCTCAGCACAATAACCCTCCTTCGGAACATGTTTGATAACTCCTAGCGGCTCACGAGAGTGCTCGTTGACTTCGGAGAGATACAGGGAGACTGCCAAGGTGCGGCMCAAGAGAAAACTCAGCGAAGCATAAAAGTAGATGAAATGAGATGTWGATGCCATTTTACTGAAAAAGGAGAAAATTAAACAAAGAACCACCGTAATTGTAATTTTTGAGCMTGTCATTCGTGAATGGAAAAAGGGAGAAAGTAGACAAAGCCATGTAAATAAATATTTCTATAGAAACAGACAACTTGTTCACGGCTGAAAGAGAGGAAGGTTTATAATGTTGTACTTGTATATGCGCAAGAACAACGTTTGCAAAGTAYTCAATTTTATTATCAACATTGACTATTACAAATGTACATTTTCTTAACATATTTTTTAAGTTCCAGCAAGATAAAGAACCGCTCGAAGTAATGAAAATATAGGTGCCGTTYAGGCAAGTGTTGCTGAAGACGGCAATTTTTCAATTCCAAAACGTTCTTAAGAATTAACACTAACTCAAACCATAAGCTAAAGGATTTTGATCAATGCTTTGCGCTTTTATTTATTTAAAATTCTTCTCACCCMAGAASTGAAGCCGCTTTTGCCTTGAARYAACTTTTAAGAAAATGTTCYTTTGGGAGAAAACTCYCTTTCATCTGAGTGGTGYGGTAAATAAACAAAACTGTCGATTCTGGTGCGAAGAGAATCTTTAAATACATGATTTTCATGAACAACCATTACATTTACTTAAATTGACAGTATCGATCGATGTTAGATGACTTTTAATGGCCGCAATTGAAAAAAATTGATCTTCAAAATATCTAGTTCCAACCAAACGAGGCTACGTACCACACATCTCGTGCAACAACAGAACTATTGCGTAAAAAGTCTGGCGATTCACTTATTTCAAGATATTGTGACATGGAATAACTTCCAAAAAGTTCTGACTTAAAACCATTAGAGTACTTCCTGTGGGATTATTTGAAGTTATCAGTCTTCAAGCTTTAGAAGTCAATATTGAACGTGCTCTTATGGCATACGACTTTATTTAGCGGACAAAGTACTCGAAAATTTTGTTACTCGAACTCGTTCAACACCGTTCTGGTAGGCTTTCCAGTGACTTGCTTTGGTATGAAGTCAAATTCGTGTCCATCTACCCGAATCACACCGGGACGCTTTCAGATGGGGATAWCCTACATTTCAGTGTTTATATTATAAATTCAAACACTTTCATTGCCTCTTAAGGTCTTTAAGAATACTAACTTGATGCTCCTTAGCAATTGAATGCAAACAAAAAAGAGATTATTAGCGAACGAGAGCATGGTTATGCCGGATACAGCAGAGTCCACTTGTTCGATGAGATCACAAATTAGACGATATTGCAAGCGGGTTCGTGTCCAATAAACTTCGGGCATTACCTGAAATTGAAGGGTAGTAACTGAGAACTAAAAGGTTATACAATTTACTCCAAATATATTACTTGTCCCTTGGCAAGCTCCAAACTGCTCTGTACTTGACCAAACAAAGATGAAAGTCCTATGCCAATTATCATTAGAAAGACATCCATGTAACTCCAACCAAATGTCATGAACACATTCAATATCTTTCCGAACCAAGCCAACCATGTGGAATAATCGAAAACTAAAAATATGTGTGAGGAAACTGCTGTGAAATATGATTCGACGGCATCGCTCTGTTTGGCGCAATGAATTGCAAAGTGAATAGCCGAAATGGTGCTCAATAGATGCTCAGCTGAAAGGGATTATTGAATTAAACCTCTGAGTAAATATTTCATCGAATCACGTACTCAGCGACAATGAGATCAGCA